AGCTCAGTTAAATTGTATAATGGTAGCTTTGTAAAACTGGACAATTCTAATGTCCCTCTATCATTTGATTAATAAATATTCATCTTATTTTGGTAAAACAATTTGTCTGTATCGATTTTTAAATTTTATTATCAGTACAACTTCCTTTTTCCATGAATTCAATTTTGTTGGAATGTAACCTTTTTGGCACTAACGGCGTTCCATACTTTTTTTTTTCGTCAGCAACTCCTGGCAGTAGACTATAATTTGTTTTTTACGGGGCGATTTATATATGAAATGTATATAATTTAGTCCAAATATAAAAAGCTGAGCTGTTTTACACGTGATTTGCAGTAGACTATAATTTGTTTTTTACGGGGCGATTTATATATGAAATGTATATAATTTAGTCCAAATATAAAAAGCTGAGCTGTTTTACACGTGATTTGTGGTTTAGAGACCTCGGCAAACCGAAATGAACTCATTTCTGCCCTGTACTACTTTTTGCCGTCTCCCGTGTATTTACGCCTTTCAAAAACACCAAAAATACCTTGCATGACAGCTTTTACTCTTAAGAGTGCTAAATACATATAAAACTTTTATATATAAGTCTTATATTTACTTACCAGAATGAAAAGGATGGACACTAGATGCGTCGTCTGCAGTTGACCATTACGAGTTGTCTCCCATATCGTCATTCTCAATCTACGGGCGCCATATCTTTCCATAATATTTGAAGTAAAATCTTGATTTTTTTTTCGCCAAAATTGACGACTTTCCCCTATTTCGATTTTTCTCGATTTTTAATATGTTTCTTATACGTTATATCTCTCACGAATTCCGCAAAAAACATTTCTGTTGCAATTAGTTTGAGGTATAACCATAGAATGACTGGACTATATGGGCTACATAAAAAATCTATCAGACTGATTATACAATAAGCACACGATGAAAAGACATGGCAAATGAAATAATACCTACAGTAGCAGCACTAAATACGTGGTAAACACTACTTCAAATTATAGTTGGTAGCACAAGATATAAATGTCAAGCATAAATTAATTTCAGTCATAAAAAAGGAAATCAAAGTATAAATATTTGATATGCAAAAAAAGAAACGAAAATCAGGCTGCACTGAATTAAATTCGCACCAACTACAGGTGTACTTTTGTCCCCCACATTAACTAAGTGTATTCATGTATATATGTATTTATGTTTTAAATTTGTCAATATTGGTTTTCACATACGTTCTACGTCAAACCTGAAATAATCCTACCGTTCACAGAAGTTCTTTGTTGGTGCTAACATACCTGAAATTATTGGTATCATCAATTTTAAAGACAACCAAATTTCCGAGAAAGAAACAATATTTTCTATTTCGTGTTATACGGGCTCCAGGGAAACGTTATTCATATTCCAAAATCGTATAAACACAGTAAAGGACGGTTCACTAATGTTTGAAGCAATATACATTTTTTTATCATGCCTAGGGGAGACATGAAGATTTGTTCATCTAAGAAAATCTTTATCATACCACCGATATTATATAATTATAGCCTTTGTATGACGTCGATACTAGGTTTTATCATATACTTAGAGTAAATAACTTATAATTTTTACAGTATGATAATAGCATTTATTATATACTTAGTGGTAAATACAGATAAATAGTGTATGTGTAATACAATCATTGACAAGCGTGCTGTATCAGCCACCCGTGATGATATCGATATCAGCACGGTTGCAAAGGCTTTATCACACCTTTTATCTGTATGACGTCACTGTTGCAAAGGCTTTATCAAATCCCTAATCTGTATAACTTCATGTCAAACCTATAATCTGTATGACGTCATTTCAAACCTCCTTATCTGTATGACGTCATGTCACATAAAAAAAATCATCTACGTGAGGTATATGTATATAATAAAGTGTATATGATATGGCTTTTTCAATGTCACACACCGTATTTTCCAAAATGGTGCTTAGCGGGCTGATATGAAAATTTATCAACTGCTTCCGGTTTTTATCGCATGCCTTTCCGTAATGTTATCGCATGGCATTTCGACGTCACTCGGCAAATTCCGGAAAATACACCTCAATGGTACGTTTTCAGTGAAAAGCATAACAAAGTAGGGTACAAAACAAATATAAGGAAACAGGAAAATATATTTGGTAAGATGCAAAACAAATGATACAATAAATGCATTTTTCAAAGTTTTAAGAATAGTTCTTGTCTGTATTTCTTCTGCAATATCCACCATCAATGTTGACTTTTCCAAACAGTGTTCATTATGTTTTGTTGATTTTTTTTTATCGTCAATATAAAAATATATTATACTGTTGTTTTTCTCCTCTGTTGATGCATATGGTAGAATGATTTCATATCGGATGTATTAAATTTGGCGTCCGTCGACCGCTTTTAACTTTTTGAACTTCTACTTGAGAACCACTTAAAAGGATCAATATATCAAACTGTTATTTTTCTCCATTGTTCAAGCATATGATTACATGATCATAACATGTCATTTTTATATCGGATGTATTATCAGTCCTCGAGCCTTCGACTCTTGGGCTGATAATACATCCGATTTGAAAAATGCCATGTAATAATCTGATAATATCGACATAAGAGAAGCATATGGACTAAGGACGAAGTCCGAGGTCGATATGCTTCTCTAGGTCGATATAACATCGTATTGACCAACCAAAGGCTACAATTATTATATTATTAATCAACAACTATTGCATGAACAATGTAAAATTATGGATTTCTAGAATGTATTTTAGTAACATGATGTATGCCCTGTGCAATATGCTGGTTTTTTTTACCTACGAAAAGCTGAATACAACAGTATTGGCGTGGAAATACTAATGTACAAGTGATCAAATTTTAACGAATCACAAATCCTTAAAAATATTCGATTAATAATATAAGCTTTTATAAACAGAGCGTGATGTCGAGCGAGGTTAACATGATTTCAGAGAGATGCATGGTATGTAGTTCAACATCGCATGGGATGGTCTAAACCATTAAAACATTTGTCTAGCTATCAGTATTTACATACAGTTCTTGACAATATATACTTAGTAATCTAATTTAAATGATTCTGTCTTCCAATGAACCGACGATTTTCAATACTAATTGGCTTCTCTCAAATTGAAATACTAACGATGCCAATTAAATTATATGCGGCTTCATCGTACATGTTAGGTACGTTATTTCTCTTTTTCAATTAGCAGTACTATATCAATATTTATGGCTACCTAAGCTCTTCATGTAGTAGCGAGCATATTTTGTTCTTGCTTTCCAAACTATATGACATCTTTTGTTTTATTGTTCAAGTTACGGTCTAAATATGCAAGAAAGGAGTAAACTTGTTTAAGAAATAATTCTTTCATGCCATACTTTATGCTCATTTTAACATGGGTAGGCATTATATTTGTCAATATCTTTATACCGAGCGTTACCGAGATAGAATTATTTCGATTCTGATAGGAAAAATTATAACTTTTGTACTTCGAAGCGGACCTATAATACACGTTCGAAAGGCAGACATTTTGATTTGATGAACCAAAAACGTTATAGAAAATAAACAGTTCCACTTAAAAAAAAATTAACATATGCATGTATATGTAAACTTACTTTTAGAATGATTTTAGTTAATTTCCAAGCGAGCAACACCAACAAAAAGATCCATTTCCAATTCCGGCGTTGTTCAAAATACAATTGACGTTGCAATTTCAATCACGTGCAGCCCATATTTTATTGTAATAAACTATTTTCATATTACCGACTTTTGACTCCGGATTATATAATTTGTCGACTGGTTACCTTGGACATCATGGTACTCGGTCAAGTAAGAGCAGCCAAAATAAGTAAAATCAAACATGTAATCGGTGTAATTTGAGGGGAAAGTTTACTTTTTTCCGATGATTTTGTAGTGAAAAAAAAATATTAACCAGGTAATTTTCCCCCAAAATTGTACCGATTGAAAGCTTGGTTTTACTTCTTTAGCTTGCTCTTACCTGACTTGGTACCATGATGTCCAAGGTAACCAGTCGACAAATTATATACTAGTAATCCGGAGTCAAAAGTCGGTAATATGAAAATAGTCTAGAGCATGGCTTTGTTTCCAAAGCGAAAGAAGAACGTCATATTAGAATAAAACCTAAAGTAAATGATGTTTTGATTGTGGTCTACTGTGTCGTAGCTTTGGTAATTCCTGTTATCATTGTGATGTATAATATTGATTAAATTTCTTATTCCTGTGACCATGGTGCGGAATGGGGACGGACTTTTCGCAATTTTTCCTCGTTGCTGAACTAATCGTGATTAGATCAGGACTTTTTGTGATCAAAACATTCACACTTGTGACTACAGTATATATTATATATATCTTTCAACCTGAATTCATGAAATTAGTTTTTACTATACATTAACCTGTATATATGTTTTGGTTGAATGCTGTGCAGCCCTACTTAACCTTTTTTATTTTCATTCCTACAGCAGAGGATTTATATTAGAAAAATCATAATACTTTAAAGAAAAATCAATGCTATGGGAGGATAGCTCTATTGGTGGGGTTTTTCTGAAAATGAGTATTGCTTACATGATGCAAATTTGCAATTCTTTCAATATTATGAAACTTTAGAATCGGGTTTTAGCGGAGGATCTGCATTTTGCTGAAAGGAAATGCCCATTTAAAGTGATTTTAGGATGAAAATAAAAGCAACATTTGTCTCTAAGTAAGGGTTATTTAACATTTTTTTAACAGAGGCAAGTCTATGAGGTTTAATTGAATAACTTATCAGGATAGGGTCGAAAATCGCGAAAGGTTATAGTGTTACGAACCTTAAAAACGAACTTTTAAAAACCCTTGCCATCCAACCTTTAAATCTGAATACAATCAAAATAGTGTGAAACAAATACTTATCGAATTCATCCTCTTTCTCACGGACGACGAAAATATCGTATTGCAATTTAATTGTTGCATAAGACAAAAGAAAATATGTGTGCTTACCTTTATTTCATATTGCTTCGCCCACAGCTCAATCTCACCAGTTCTCTTCAATATGCTTTCAAAATCTTTTTCTAAAGCAGCTGCTTTTTCCTCTAATTGTGTTAATTTTCTGTCCATAAGAGTCGACACTATTTTTTGTGAAGATTCGACTAAATTATCGCTCTCCATACTGAATCATGTGTACAGTAATGATTTGTTGTGAATTGTCATGACGTCACTGTCATTGACAAATGACGCGAAATTATACCATATTATTATGAACAGGCTACATGCTGTGTATTTCAGATAAGCATTTAATGGTTGATAAAAAGATAGAACATTCATTAATACATGAAAAATTTGTAGCATATGGATTAAAATGACTCCCAGTTTCCTATCATGACTTTTGACAGAGAATTACTGATCAAAAGACAAGAAGCTACTGGCTTCCTTTGATCTTTTTACGGACGCTTTACTAAGTTCTCGTCTTCCAAGTGCTCCACGAAACCTCTTTCTTTCTAAATCATTAACATCAATTTCATCAGCAATCAAAGCCGGGCTTCAAAGTTATTGTGAAACTACCTATTATAGAGGTGGTGTGAATTAAATGTGTATAGTAAAAAATTTCAAAGACCTTTTAGCGTGCATACAATATAAAACTCTTTTATCTTACAATAGTATTAAAACATCTGACTTTTCTACACTTTACACAAGTATTCCCAATTCCAAACTAAAAGACAAACTGAAAGAGTTGGTCCTGCTTTGTTTCATAAGAATGGCCAACGTAGATACAAGTATCTTGTCTTAGGGAGGGATAAATCGTACTTTGTAAACAATCACTCTGATTCAAACGAAAAATTCTCTGAAACTGACATTATCAAGATGCTTGATTTCTTGATTGACAACATATTTGTTACGTTTGAAGGACGTGTTTTTCAACAAACAATCGGCATTCCCATGGGAACCAACTGTGCTCCTCTTCTTGACGATTTGTTTCTTTATTCATATGAGGCTGACTTCATACAGGAACTTCTTAGGAAGAAAGAAAAGAAATTAGCAACTAAAGCTTTTTACTTCTTTTTCCGCTATAAAGATGATGCTCCTCACTAAATAATTCAAAATTTGGTGACTTTGTTAAACGCATCTATCTCATCGAACTTGTGATAAAGGATACATCATATACAATTAAGTCTGCCTCATATCTTGACTAACATCATATCTTGACTAACATCTAGAAAATGACAATTAGGGTCGGTTAAGAGAAAACAAAACTTTACGACAAAAGAGATAATTTCAGCTTTCCAATTGTGAACTTTCCATTTCTATGTAGCAACATTCCAGCAGCGCCTGCATACGGAATATATATCTCCCAGTTGATATGATATTCCAGGGCTTGTATTTCCTATCATGATTTCCTTGAGTAGAACTTGCTGCTCACAAAGAAGATGTTAAACCAAGAGTTCCAAGTGGTGAAGTTGAAATCACCCCTTCGTAAATTTTATGGACGCCATCACGAGTTGGTTGATCGTTATGGAATATCTGTTTCACAGATGACAACGGATATGTTCAATTGTCGTAACTACAATCCCGCCCCCTTTTTTACCGAATGTGCCCTACCGAATTAGACTTATCACCGGTTTGGACTAACATGATCAACACGACGGGTATCACATGTAAATTACTGAGATCGCCCCTAGTTTTTGGTGGGGTTTGTGTTGCTCAGTCTTTAGGTTTCTATGTTTTGTGTACTGTTGTTTGTTTGCCTTTTTTTTTAGCCACGGTGTTGTTAGTTTATTTTCGACTTATGAGTTTGAATGGCGAAAGATATGGTCACCGACTTTGTTTTTTGTCTAATTATCAATCTGTTACCTTGTTGGTAGTGAACAACATCAAAAATTAACGTTTTATGGGCTGTGTCCTATAACTATGTTTCCCCTATGCCAATTTTTCCGGTGGGGGGGGGGGGGGACTGGATCGATCTCCCTAGTAGCACGAGAAGCTATTTTTTTTCCCTTGTAGTAACATCGGTTTTTTTAATCTTTGAATGATAAAATAATCTCAGTATTTGCTGGAATAGTTCTGTCTGCATTCAAGCTCCGCATCCATAAATGGTATTCACAAAATTACCAATAAGTAATGTGATTTCGATGTAACATATTATAACGGAAGCAATGACGAATAATTCTATGATACTTTTCAAATCTTGTGCTATCCCTTTCATTTATAACGTTCCAGCGATCTGAATCAATTGTTTTGACAGGTTTGTATATATTTGGTATTACCTCGGGCCATTTATAAACGAAAAAACTCCCTATAAACGGATAAACGTTTCCGTCCGAAGAGCTTGACTTTTTTTGTAAGTCCATACTTAATAGTGTTTGGTATGTAATCTTAACGCGAATAGGTCGGATATTTGGATAGAGTCAATATATGAATGGGAATATTTTTCGAATGCAAATGGCACCCCTGTAACAAAATCTAGGCCCTTGTCCCACTCCCCGACCCCAGACTTTTTAAGTGACATGCGTGTCGTCAAACGAACATAATTTGTACCTAACATTTCTTCTATTCAACCCAAGCCGAAAAACAGATTATTTTAGCATTCCAGAGATCAATTATTTCTTAAGAAATTTGGAAAATATATGCAATAAATGACTGCAATTTTGATGTATATATATAATCCATATTGGAAATATAGGCATGGGGGAAAAGTGGCTATATGTATACGTTTTGTCAACTTTCCGCGGGCAAAGAATTGCAATGATCAAAAATTTCACCGGGGAAAAAATAAGATCATGCCAGTTTTCCCCTTGCAAAAGGGGGGGGGGTGGGGGGGGAGAATGGCTATATAACACCTGCAACGCGATGACGTTACAATTTTTTCGACGTTTTGAGGTATTTTTTCACATAGAACACCACTATGAATGATGTATACCGTAAAAACGAAGTCGGTTACCCTTTCATTATTTTACATAATTAAAACGGAAATTTATGTATCAACAACATATAGGTTTTTTTTAGGTTTTTTTTAACAACATAATTAAATATCTATTTCAATTACTGGCTTTTTACAATATCATTCGAGAGTCCAAGCTCCTCCTGATGTTCCCTGTTACATCCCACTAATTACTCATGGCAGTAATTAGTTGTAAAATTCATATAACATCAATTACATGTATATATTCAATAACATTACTCATAATGATTGTTCAAATGTTTTCTAATTGTTACTAAAATATTATTTTGAATTGTCACACTTATGCTGCGTTCACACGTAATTCGAATTCGATTCGCATTAACTGATTCGAATTAGTTTATTTCGCATTCGAATCGTTTTACGTCCAAACGTTAATTCTAATTCGAATTGTAATACGCGTCAAATTTGCTTTACTGTCCGAACGACGTTAACTTTTAATTCGTATCAACAAAAACGGATTTCTAATGCGATTTGGTTAATGCGAATTAGCCACTTCGAATCAATTCGAATTAAAAAGGAAGAGTGTGTGAACGCGATTAGCGAATTCGATTCGCATTCAATTCGAATTCAATTCGAATTAAATGTACGTGTGAACTAGGCATTACTCTTCTATTAAATTCATTAATGAAACATTGACATTTTTTTCTTTTGATCAGATATGTAATACGCTTTGTAAATTGAAAAACTAACAATTCTTCGTCAGAAATTTTATATCCAAATACTAGATGTTTTAATTTTATCTTAAAAGTTATTTTACTCCTCTTTAAAACTTCATTTTGTTCCAAAAATGTTCTAAATACGGACACAGTATAAAGAAGTGATTGTAATCTTCTTCTTGTGTACTAAAGTTCCACCTGAATAAAAGTTTCTTTGTAGGTAGAATATGTTGTAATAATTTCCATATAAAAGTTTTAAGTTTATTTTCTTTAAAATATTTGAATAAAAATTCATATAACTTGTTTTGATATAACACATCATTTATATTAAGTATACGCATCCATTTTCTTTTTTGGTCCAATAGCTGGTTATTTTTTTTTTTATTATTCATCACAGAATTATATAAAAGTTTGTTTGATAGTGATTCTAATTTTAAAGGTAAATCTTTCCATAAAAATTGGTTTCTTTTTGTATCAACGGTACTTTTTATAGAATTTTCCGACTTTAAGATGGCTGCCCAGTCTTTTGGTATTGATTTTTTATCAAATTAAACTCAGCTATCCAGTGTGATTTATTTTTTAGTTCATTTAAAATGACATCTTGTGAAATGTGCAGCCTTTTTCATCTATGATATCATTAACATAAATAAGATCGCTTTTAATCCAATTTTTTAAAACTATAGCTTTGTTTTCAAATTTAATAAATTTATTGTTCCATAATTTTTGTTTTCTTATATCTGTAAATGTTTCAGGCTTTTTCGTTAGACCCTACCAGTTGATTTCCAACATTTAAGGATAGTTTTATAAAAATCTTGGATTCTTTGAAGGCATTCTTCTGGATTATACCCACTGTTTGTTTGAAACACTAGCCAGTATGACCCAAAATTATAGAAATAGTACTGAGGTATAATTTTCCAAACTCCTTCACAATCACTTACTAGTCTTTTAGCCCACAAAGCTTTTAAAGCAATTAAATAACTTCTTGCATCTATCATATCTAATTCCCCTATTCATATGGACCAATGATCGAATTTCTTTTAACTTTATCTGGATAATTATCCCAAACGAATTTAAAACAACTTTTTTCTATTTCTTTCAAATATTTCTCAGAAACTATACAAGCAACTTACTTTAACCAAATCTAACATAAACAGCAGTAGTTGTCCTTTTCTGGATTTGGACATTTCAATCTATAAAGGAAAACTCCATACGAAAATTTACAACAAAAGAGACGATTTTTCATTCCCTATTGTTAATTTTCCTTTTTTAGACGGCGATGTTCCTTTGGCTCCATCATACGGTGTTTATATATCCCAACTCGTTCGTTATGCCCGTGTGTGTAGTGATGTCATAGATTTTAACGAATGAATCAATGCATCACTTGTAAATTATCAAGTCAGGGATTTCGTTACCATAAATTACGTAAAACTTTTGCTAAGTTCTTTCATAGATACAAAGATTTGATTAGTAAATTTGGCTGTACCTGTAGAAAACTGATTAAAAACGGTATTTCACATCCTAAATTTTACGGTAGTATTGTACTTAAAGCGCGGAAATCACTATGTGATCCGTGTAAAC